TTGTGATTTGCATATGAAATATTGTGTGTGGTGTAGTGATCAACATTTTAGCCATTATGTTTGAAAAAACTAAAATGTTGTTATTGTTAACTGTTTGTGATTTGCATATAAAATATTGTGTGTGGTGTAGCGATCAACATTTTAGCCATTATGTTTGAAAAAAAAAACTAAAATATTGTTATTGTTAACTGTTTGTGATTGGCATATGAAATATTGTGTGTGGTGTAGTGATCAACATTTTAGCCATTATGTTTGAAAAAAACTAAAATATTGTTATTGTTAACTGTTTGTGATTTGCATATGAAATATTGTGTGTGGTGTAGTGATCAACATTTTAGCCATTATGTTTGAAAAAACTAAAATGTTGTTATTGTTAACTGTTTGTGATTGGCATATAAAATATTGTGTGTGGTGTAGTGATCAACATTTTAGCCATTTCGTTAAAAAAAAACTAAAATGTTGTTATTGTTAACTGTTTGTGATTGGCATATAAAATATTGTGTGTGGTGTAGTGATCAACATTTTAGCCATTATGTTTGAAAAAACTAAAATGTTGTTATTGTTAACTGTTTGTGATTGGCATATGAAATATTGTGTGTGGTGTAGTGATAAACATTTTAGCCATTATGCTTAAAAAAAACTAAAATGTTGTTATTGTTAACTGTTTGTGATTGGCATATAAAATATTGTGTGTGGTGTAGTGATCAACATTTTAGCCATTATGTTTGAAAAAACTAGAATGTTGTTATTGTTAACTTTTTGTGATTGGCATATGAAATATTGTGTGTGGTCTAGTGATCAACATTTTAGCCATTATGTTTAAAAAAACTAAAATGTTGTTATTGTTTGTGATTTGCATAAGAAATATTGTGTGTGGTGTAGTGATCAACATTTTAGCCATTATGCTTGAAAAAATTAAAATGTTGTTATTGTTAACTGTTTGTGAATGGCATATGAAATTTTGTGTGTGGTGTAGCGATCAACATTTTAGCCATCATGTTTAAAAAAACTAAAATGTTGTTATTGTTAACTGTTTGTGATTGGCATATGAAATTTTGTGTCTGGTGAAGCAATAGTGATAAACAGTTTAGCCATTATAAATAATATAAGGAAACCATAAAGGTACATTATCTAACAAACCATGGCATACATACTGACACCTTTTTGCCACTTGTTATTTTGAGAAACACACCGGCTTTAAACATCATGATTATATACGATCACAAGATATTACAGTATTTGCTTTGTTTGCTCATATCAGAAGGGTGTGTACTTTTGTGTTAAGTTTAAAGTTCATTGAATATTAATCATGTTATTATTATTTAATCAGGAAATGTTGAATTTTGGTGTCAATTGGTGTAAAGTTAGTACTTTATTTTCTTTATCAATACTCATCCTTTATTGCAATCATTGCATGATGCGGGGCGGCGAAAACTCCCCTGGACGGCTGGATTGTGTTACGCCTTACGGGGGACTAGTTGTTTGGCGAGCCGACGAGAACCGGCCAGCCCCCGCTAGCTGTAATCTGGCATCCAGGGTAACAATAAAGATCATTGCTTTTAGGACGAGATTTTATAGTGTCGACAACTTTATATAATGTATTGTTGCTAGGTAACCTAGAAACCACTGTTTCAGTTTCAGTTTATTTTATTTAACCAGTAATTACAACTCAGGCCATCCCGGCCTGTTTTTCAGGTAATCCTGGATACACATAAAAGTACACACAACAAATACACAGTACATAAACTATTACTAGACTAGAAAGACCAATATTTGCTTTGGAGCAAATACAGCGATGGGTTCACCACATTTTACGACATGGCAGGGAAAGAATGAGAAACACAAGGGAAAACAATGATTTACATTGATATAACTATAATATGAAGTAACATACAACTAAAACAACAGTTGGATAGCTATTCCCTACTTTATTGGTTAGGATTTTTAATTGCATAATGCAAACTGTTGATTTAAAAAAAAAAAACGTTCATGCCCCGCATTCCAATGCTGGAACAGAAAAGCTTGAAATACCTACCAAAACACTTGAATAAAGACATACTGTCAGTATGGAAATGCTCTGTGCAGTCGTTAATCAAGTTAAATCCCAAAAGCCAATCAGCAAGAAATGCTCTGTGCAGGTGGAAATGCTCTGTGCAGGTGTTAATCAAGTTAAATCCCAACAGCCAATCAGCAAGAAGTATAGAGGAAAGCTGCATGCCTATTGGTTGATGCCCTGCATTCCATTGTGATGACTCATGCCCAGACATCACAATACAGAGGTGACAGTGAAAACCGTGAACATTGACCCCCCGCTTGCGTTGCGGTACAGTGAAAAAAAATATCGGGAATTACAGCAATCAATTTACTGAGTATGTTTGCTTAGTTTCCAGATGTTTTGTACTTGTAGTTTTTAAATGAACGAAAACCGATGCGCGCACAGATGTTACTTTTGTGACAACATCAAAGTGATTTTGGTTTGTATGTTGAAAAAATACAAAAGACTAACATTCGAAGTTATTGAAATTCTTGAGTAAGAACAATCAGTTTTGGAATGTTAAAAGCAAAGCAATGGATATTAAAACGAAAATGTTAAAATTAAATGTTGAAATTGTTAAAATGTAAAATGGTTAAAATGGTTAAAATTGTTGAAATTGTTAAAAATGTTAAAATTGTTAAAAATTGTAAAAAGGATAATTAAAAATATCCAGTGTACCGGGGTTCGAACTCGTAATGTCTGGACTTGCAGCCCTGCGCGTTACCAACCGAGCTATCTGGACACGTTTCCATTACTCTCTGCATTGTATGTCATATAAAGTGAACAACATGGCGGTAACGATCGCTTCAAGTACTAGTAAGGTACTCTCCAAGCAGAGGTTTGGGTTTTGGGGGTATTTTTAGCGTGTTTTCAGGCTTTTTTATCGGGGTTTCTCTTTTGCACTGAATTTTGTTTCCCACCAAACCCAACCTCTGCCGGCACTCACCTCGGGGAGGGCAAACCTATTCAAAACAGGCGATAGTGCCCCTCCCCGGGAACCATCAAACTGTCATTAGGGATATCCATTTTATTGTGGTGGATTATCACACTTCTAGGCAGTCGGAAAGGCATTCATTGGGCCACACGCCTCCTGCTGACTGTGCCTATTCATACGTCTGGTTCACACCTCCTTGCAGAACGACTGAAATGTGTTGAAATGATTAGGTTTATAGCCCATTGAAGTTTTCGACTGCCTGCAGAGGTTGGGTTTGGTGGGAAAAAATTAGTGCAAAAGAGAAACCCCGATAAAAAAGCCTAAAAACACGCTAAAAATACCCCCAAAACCCAAACCTCTGCTTGGAGAGTACTAGTAAGGGACTTTCTAGGAGATACACTCTACAATTTTGGTGATTCTTCAGAAATCGATAACAGAATATATAATACTAGTCGGTGAAGATTGTGGAAAATTGTTGATACCGTGGCGCGCGCGCGTGCGCCGACGATACACATTACGTACCGTTGTTTACAGTACTCGCGGGGCGCAGGTCATTGACCTCCCGCTTGCGTTGTTCCAACAGAGAAGAGCAAAATATCTGCCAGTTTTTGCGTCAGATTTTCAGTGTTTGTTAAAATCATATACAGGCATCCATGCAGCTATAATTCTTCCAACTAGTTCGTAGTTAGGTGAAATGTTTATAGGAATCACACGAATCGGTATCCAGTATCAGAGTATCATGGCCCACGGCCGAGACCGCGTGGACCAGCTGCGCCTGGTACGTGAAAATGGTAGTAAATAAATTAATTAGCCAACAGCCAATCAACAGCCACATCTGCAAACATGACCACACCTGCTTGTATGCCCATATTTGGGCCTTCCCCCGAATTCCTTTCTTATTACGTCACGCGCGTACGCCCCCACAGTACTTTCCTATGGGGACCACTAAAAAGCAA